ATTGTATTCTGTAGTGATAGTTGAGTTTTCAACGTTATCACTGACGACTTCGATCTGTAAGGTTTTAAGGTGGCTAAGATATAATGGTTGCATTTTTGGTAAGGTGTTTAGAGAGTGAAGTGATTTAGGGATTTAGCACTATTTATCATTCATTCGTATTATGTCAATGAGTTCAATGTAGTAATGAGGTCAGAATTTCTTTGGTGTGGTTGTTATTCGTGGAATACTTTGTGAAGTGATTCAGTGGAATGTGCCGTGCCATATTGCAGATACAAACCAGTATCGCTGAACGCTATGCTCAAGCCACTGAAAGACGTCTATGATGAAACGTTCGCGCAGTGTTTCAACGTTGAACGGAATGCAAATTTCTTATCGAAATCTGAAGTAAGTGAAGTGGATTTTATACGTGTTTTTTGAAAGTTTACTCTCGTATGGTTCAGAAAAGTCGAACGATAAGTTTGAATTCTTAAGTATTCCTCGACCCACTGAGAAGAGACTGTTTTGAATAGTAACAAAAAATGGTGCAAATAATGTCCGCTAAATTAGTTATGTATCTGAACAAAGAATTGTGTGAAGTATTATGACGATATCATGATATGATAGATGATGGACTGAGGGAAATGGTGACGATGTTGTAAGATTGAGGGAATTTAATGAAGTGAGTGAACGGTGTTAAACGAATTTCAGGAATGCCTTTCGGCGGGTCGTTTCGCCGATTTTGCGACACTAATGTGCGAAATTGCACGGCGCGCATTGGCACTACCAGCCAAATCTGTGTGGCATCCGAAATGGGCCGAAATATTGGTGAGAGCTGAGCGATTTCGCCAGGCAGTCTTGAAGTCAGCACTACCGTTCGCGTACGTTCGAGGAGTGGTGGCACAGGTTCGGACTATGACTGCTCATTGAAAGGCTATGTCATCTTTGTGAAGAAGGCTTGAAATGATGAGCAGTTTTGATTTGGAAGATTTAGTGGATCCTCCGATAAACATTAAGCTATCTTTCAGTTTGACTATAATACATTTATAGTATAACTTGGCGTTATTTGAAAACAAATGTTATTTTCACGATTTTTTCGATTGACCGATTTATTTAAAGTGACGATTCGATTGAGTTATTTTTTCGATTGATTCGATTGACTTGTTCG